ATACGAAAGAAACAAGCTGGTAAGATACCAAACAGGAAATACGCATAGTGTAGAGCGTATGTAGATTTGATCAATCAGAGGCCTCCTGTCTCCAGCACTGTCTGCGGTCGCCTACAAATTTTTGAGAGGTGCACCAGTGTCTGCGGCCTGGTTTGTGAGCATAAACCAGCCCTAAGACAGCAGTTCTCATGATAGTTTATTAGTGGCCTAGTCATTTTATGTAATATATTAACTTTCTGCAAAACTAATGAGAAAACATGATAGAATGAGGCAGGGAACATTTCAAACAGAACTCTACCACAAACAGAATTTGAGAGTTGACATGAATGACTCATATAAGAGCTAAATCTTTTTTTCTTTATACTGAGCATATAGCAGGTCTGACCTAGTTTACATCAGGGGGTTTTGATTCTACTGTAAAACTCTGCATGTTGGATTTAACCTTGACATCAGAACTTCACAAAGCTGGAGCAGGTTGTTTAACACGCACACACACCAGCATCGAGACACTGAGAGGTCAGGTGTGAAAAGAAGCCCCTATGACATCGCTGTCACTCTGCAGCTTTATCAATCCAGCTCACATAATCCATTATTGATGCCTGAGGCTTAGCTCACAGCTATCAGTGCTCCATTATTTACGTCTGAAACAGCTGGTGGTTTATACACAGAGGAACAGCTCTCTGTGGGAGTCTAGATGCCAGAGAGAGAAAGTAAGCTGCGGGTAGTGGTACCCTCTATTTCCATGGCAACTAGTATCATGTAGAATTTTCTTTCTGGTATGGCTGTTTTATAACACAGAAGAACTGCAGCAGACAGGGACAACCAAAACGAGCTGAACATTTTGATTGTAGTGATCTGAACAATGGAGGAAAACTCTGAAATCAAACTGTTGAGGATGGGTCTTACTTTCTTTATATCAACCCCATATTTGCCTGTAGTCTGAGTTATAATCATTTATCGTTGTCTATAATTTCTTTCTGAAGTCTGATTTTCATTGTGTTTCTAAAGACATGATTTGTAAAGCTATGTCATTTTCCATTAGCAAAACATTCATTGCAAAAACATTTGTAAGAAGTTCTTATAATTAGTTGAGAATTTGCAATCAGGTCAATTTCAGTTCACACAGCAATTGTTCTGTCTCGATCAGTCCTTCCAGAGAGGTCTGATTATCGTGGAGATGAATCTGCCATGTCTGTTATGTTAATAGTATATCTGTTCTCCCTACTGCCTTCTGGGGAGAGGCTTTGCAGCATCCGCTGCAGGCCCAGCAGGTTCTGCAACAGCCTTTTCCCTGCTGCAATCGCTGTTAAACTGTTGAAACTCTAAACTAAACTCTACATCACAATTGCAACATCATATTTGCACTACTAAGGTGGCTGCTTTTTTAAACAATCCCTTTAAATTTAACACAACGCAATGTTCTACTGCATTTTGCAGCACATTAATTTATTTTGCACTGCACTGAACCTTTCCATATCAATGCCTTTGGCACCATGACTTTTAAACTGGATTTTTTTTTCTTCTACACTGTTTACATTCTTGATCACTGCTGCACTTTATAAATTGTAATGTTAATTTCACTGTTTGAAGCTGCATGCATCAACATTTGGATGAGCATCTGGTTAAAATCAGAAACTGGAGGTTGAAAATTTAAACTTTTGAAGCTCGACGTGGCTCGTCAACCAATCAGAGAAGCTGATTTGCGAGCTGGCTCGGAGACAGTGACTGCATCCAAACATGATGAATATATATATAAGGGGGTTTCACTCATTTTAGGTTTAAGAGAAAAGGCAAGAGAGAGTATTTTTTCGTAGAAGAAGGAGAAGTGAGAGTTCCCTGCTAATGCCACTAAAATATTTTCTTACTCAAAGGTGGCAAAAAGGTTCTAATGAATACCTACACTAACTCAAAATGCAATTAAAATAATCATTTTCTTATACTATTGTGGTACTTAGAGTTTTTTCCACCTAAAAACAGTTTATAATAAGCTTTAGCCACAAATAATGGCAGCAGAAAATCCCAGATTGATTTTCTGACTTCTGGGAGATTTCAATGAAGATTCTCAATGAGACTGCCCACCTTTATGCTGGGATCTGCTGCTCGAAACAAATACAACAAAAATTGAAAGGTAAGATCATAATCCTTATAAACTGACTGACTCAAAACATATTTTGAGGTGTACCTTTTCACTTAAAACTACCTTTAAACTTGGCTTGTGTGTGTGTACTGTGAACAACCAAAACTGTTTTATCTCAGATTTTTCCTCATCATGTCTTTTTCTTAAGTTTTGGAAATCCTCTGAAAATTTTTAAATCTTGCAGTGTTAATCATATCTGAACCTCTTCTTTAAATAAATCTGAGTTTGTATATAGAGAGTTATAGAGAAATGCAAGGAGGAAATTATAAATCACCTCCTGCAACAGCAGCAACAAGAGAAAACAATGCTTTGGTATTTATCCTATTTATATTACAGTATTTAAAACATTTGCTATTTTCATATCATTTTGATTTCTAGTTCAAGTTGAAAAATACAAAATTTGTATAATTTGTAAATTCTAGCCCATAGCTTTTCATTTTCACATTTCCAGAGTCACCCAAGTTTTTGTAAGATAGATGGATAGATGGATTTAATGACGGAATGAATGGAGGGATGAATTGATTGACTAATAATTCACTAATGGATGAATAGAATATGAGATGGAGGTTTCCAACTATGATTAGTGTCTTCATTAAAAGCTATAGTATTCTTTTAAAACATGGATCAATCAAGAGTGCTGGTCAGCCACTGAAGAGGCAGGCAGCTGACTGCGGTGGCAGAGGGAGGAAGCACATATTGTGAGGTGCTTGGAGGCCAAGGGTTAGGTGTTCTAGAGCAGGCCTGCATGAAGCAGCTAATATTTAGGATTATAAATACTGATAATGATAATAATAATATTGTTACATTGTGAAGACAATTCCTCCCCGCAATAGGTAATTTGGTCAGCCTTGTTTTCACATATCTATGCAAATTGAAAATGATGCAAGATATGTTTATATTCATAGAAAACTAAAAATATCAGTTTTTAAGATATTTTTATTTGACACACAGTGTTGAAAACTGAAATTGTCCCCTTTGTTTAACTGGAACCGAGTTTGTGATCATTAATTAAAGCTCTCTGTTTATTGTTATTCTTCATCCATAATGTCTTATTTCTCAGGCTTTGCTTCTTATTTAACAGAAGTGACGTAATTGGTGGAAAAGCTCAATTTATAATATTACACATGAAGAAACTTGCCTTGGCAGTTGCAAAGTAAAAAAAAAAGTCACCCCTTGACACATCTTGATATTCTGTTAGTCTTGATAAATGGACTGTGTGCATATTAATCCTCTCATAGCAGCCCTCATAATGAATCTTCAATGAGTGCTTTTTAATTAAGTTTTGTAATACTACAGGATGATTGTAGAGTAGTAATGAGACTTGTGTGCGGAGGAGATCTGAAGAACACTAGAAAGAAGATATATGACCATATAGTCAGTCCAAGACTGAATAAAGTTCAAGCAATCCATGTTTACAGTCTTATTATTCAGCCATAAAAGCACAAATAATATCTGTTTTTAATTGTGTAGACCTTATTATTTGTGTAAATGTCCTACATTTTATTGTGAGATAAGATAAAATGGTCTTAATCAAATTTGTTTTATATGATCTGTTAAGGATTTCTCTGATTTATTCATTTTCTTTGAAAGTATTGGTAAAGAAGCCATGACTTGCATCCCACACAAAATTCAGGGATCAAATAAAGACATTATCTGATCATATATTCTGTTTAAGATTTTTTTAGACTTATTTTCGTTAGTTCACAGCCCTTAACGTCTATTTTAAACTCAAGGGCAGTCATGTTCACTGTGAATTTGTGTGAAACAATATTACAGTTGGTAAGATTTAAATAAGAAACCAAAGAGGAGAAACTGACAAATAAAAAAGGAGGGAAGGACTAATGGGAGGAGGGAAGGAAGACAAAAATGGAAAGAAGATTGTGGGTCAGTAGGATGTAAGTGTGGTTTGATGATAGTAATTAAGTACAAATATCTCAGTATTATCGTGTGCAATTATAATGTGGCAAAGGACAATTTGGAGTGCAATAACCATTAGCTAATATATTCCAAATGTTATAAACTTCCATTTTATACGCTAATGTACTATTTAGCCAGTAGGACCAATTGTCTCATCAGTTGATGCTCACACCAGACACAAATGACATAATCAAAGACGCTAAAGGTCACAGAACAATAGGAGCACTGATGAAATCAGGTACATATTGCAAATGATATCATCATCTCAATATCTACCAGCGACATTCCAATATTTTCTGATATGATGCAGCGCTATACGTAAGGATGGGGCGGTAGGGCATGAGGGAGGAAAGCAAAGGAATACTGCAATGAAAGAAAAGATAGGGAAGATAGGAAACAAGAGATAAGTAAGGACAATAGAGGTTAAAGGAAGAAGGGGCACAAGAAAATACAAAAGAAAGGAAGAAAACAAATTAATTTAGAAAGGATGGAGAGAAATACACAAAGAGAGACAGAGGTAAGGTCACAATGGAAGAAAGGAAGGACAGAAGGAAGGAAGGAGTTATCATGTCCGCCACTACTGTAACCATCTCCTTCTTATTGCGTATTTTTCTCTTTTAAAATTAGTCCATAAAATATCAGCTTTGCTTTTTCCTCATTGGTTATTGTTATTGTATTTATTTTTGTTTACAAAGAACTCATATTGGATCTGTAGAAGTTTTCCTCTGTATCACCTGAATTCCTGTGTAATTGTTTTATATTTGATTTTTTTATGGTCTTGTGGGTGTGATAAAATCACCGATTTCAAATCTTGAAAAAAAAAACAGGCATGAGCACTAGAAATAATAAAACCAGTTTCAAAGATTTTCTAAGATGCAAATAAACTGTGTCAGAAGATCCTTATGAATTAAAATTTATGAATTAAAATTGTTATTTTCGTGCTGACCTCTGTTGGTGGGCCGTGCTTCTTATTCGTGGCAGTGGTTGTTGTGATGTCACTGATTGAAGGAGCTGAGTCCGAGCGGTTTCCCCCGGCTGCAGCACTCGACTGCGGGGTGATGGAGGAGGATGGCATGTCACCGACCAACCGCGCGCTGCCCTCCACTCTGATGTGCGGATGGCCCTCGGCGGCCATGTTGAGGATGCGGAGGCCATTGTAATAAAGGCCAGACAGCTGTCCCTGGAACATGGCAGAGCCCTGCTCGCCTCCGCCAACACGAACTGTCGTTTGGCTATTGAAGATGGTTAGCTGGCGACCTACACGAATACAGGCAACCGCACCCAACAGACCACAAAGAAAGAGGGGACAAACACACACACACACACGCACACCCATAATGGTCACATACGTGCATTCGCAATCATACTCAAACAAACATCCAACAGTGTTTGAGTGTTGCAGAACCCCCCCCATTTTTCCCAGGCATGGTGAGAGGATGGGAGAGATATAGCATGGCAGAGAAAATCCAAGCTGTGGAGAACCGTGGAGGAGATAAAAGTGATGATAGAAAACAGAGAGAGGAGGGGGGAGAGTGAAGAGTCTCAGATACAGAGAACAGCAAAAAAAGAGGAAGAGAAGAAGTGGAATCAGAAGGCCCCGAGATGACAGGGCTGACAGATGGTTGATATGGTGACGGCTGTGCAGCACAACATCCTATCTGAAGGAGCAACAGACAGGCATACAGAGAGACAGAGATCTAGAGAACAGTTGTCACAGCCCTATAAAGCATGCACAGGTTATAAGCTCTAGCACTGCTCACTGTTAAAGGGACTAGAGGCTAATTTAAGTAGTTCTGCCGAAGTTTAGGAGGAAAACTTTTACTTTTTTTTTTCAAAAAACATTGCTCTTTTAGTCATTTCAAATTTACATACTTCTTACACAATAATTTGCATGTACTTTAACTTGATTACAATCTTTTTTTTTTCAATACATTAAATCTTTAATAAATGCTTTATTGTTTACAATTTGAAAGGGAAATTATTTACAAGTCTTAATAAAGCATGTTTTATCATCACTTTCTCTATTTTCCGATTTATTCACATTTAAATCTCTCCATCGTCCCTTTAACCTGATATTATCAGATACACACTAACAAGATACGTTCACAGGCACTAGAGTTTACACAGTATTACACACTACAGCCTGTCCAACTTTTAATTACTTAGTTATGGATTTAGATTTTTAGATGTTAGTTGATGGTGCAAAATATAATATAATCAACTGCCTTCATGTTGTATTTTAAAGCTCAAAGTTTTAAGGAATTTTAATCAGGGTTTTTACCTTTGTCGAGTAGCCAATCGTCAACTACTCGACCAAGCCGATAGGGGATTCGCTGTCTGGCGATGGCCAGGCGCTCGTTATCATTGTTGCCTTTAATTTAGAGATGAAAACACAGTAGTAATTACGCACATCCATACTTGGTACAGGAGCTGGATACACAAAGAACAGCAATGAAAAGAAAGTAATGGTCTGCTCATTGTTGGCATGTCTCCGGGTTAAGTTAAGCTGCATGTTTTGCTGTTTTTTCTCTTCCTTTCTAACAGAAGAGAAGCTGCACTCCTTACTTCTTTTCCAGTGAGCGGACTCTTACTCTCTGTTCATTGGGTTTAATTTAAAAAAACATTACAGGGGTTAACATCTGCAAGAGCACAGGGAAATAATGTTACAGCTGCCACATATGACTGACTGAGTTTAGATTACATACACACACACCTCATAACAACTACCTTTTATCATTTTACCTATCTGAAGCCTCATTATGTTACCTATGATTACCACTTTTAAATATAAAAACCAAACAGATATAAATATTCATCAAAATACACTTTTTCTTTTACCTTATTTTTTCTCTCTAGTTAAACATTTACCTTAAAAATATACCAAGTTTTAAAACTATTATTTGTCCAAAAATGCACCAGCTGTTATTATTTTCTTTTATGGTGAGAAAAAAACACTAAAAGCTGAATTAACTATTTACATAAATTACCTTTAACACTATTTAACAGGCCTAAAATAACACAACTGACTAGTATACAAGCTACTGTAATGACTTATCTCATTTTATGGTTTAAAAAGTCATATTTCATGTCAGATCAAACACACTTCATTTCAAAAACAATAACAAATAAAACAAATTGTGTTTCTTAACCTTAGTTTGTGGAAATAAATATAAAAACGAGAAAAGTTTATCATTCATCAGTCTGAAAAAAGATGGTTTGAATTGGACCGGGGTGTAGCTTGCTCTGCCTGAGGACAGGCTGAGGCGGTACCGGGTTACACCGGAGGGGTGGGGCCTACCTGAGGGGTACCGCTCTATGACTGGAAGGTCGTCCAGCTGAAGTGTCGCGTTGCCGCCGCTTCGGGTGAACCGAACAACGTGGTACTTCCCGTCGTTGACAAACTTGGTGCTCTCCTCAATGTTAATGTCATCCGTGCCAACATTGAACACCACCCTAATGTTACCCTTGTCCTGTGGAGGAGAGGAATTTTTACTGTTTTAAATAGTTCAAGGTCTTAGAATCGAAATCAAAAGTTTTGAAAACTTTGCAAATAAAAATAAAAAGATTGTCTGATTCTGTCTTTTCTACCCCGCATTTCAAAGTTTCCAAAACCCAACATTGTTCTCAATGATCTTATTGTTAAAGAACCATGTCAGGCCTGAGTACTCCGAGTTCAACAATATTTTAAAATAGCACAGGGTACATCAATTATTTTTTACCAGTGAAGTTAAGTTTAATCTTTATAAATAGAGTGTAAAAAAATGAAACTAAAGCTCTGATATTCCTTCTTAATTTCCTGAATGATCAATGGTTGATGCAGGATTATAACAAAGGCTGTGTGTTAATCAGCCCTAATTCATGAATTCTAGCTTTTCTGTTTGTCCAATAACTAAAGGTTACATGATAAATACAAAAAGAAGAAGACTTTCAATATAAGATCTGACTTAACAATAAACTCCCTAAAGTTAATAATGTCATGATTCTGCCTTTCCTGGGCTCTGTTTAAGTTTTCTTTTTGAGTTTTTAGTTAAACTTTGATTTATGTATGTCTGTGTTTTCTAGGTTATTGGTTTCATTTCCATGTTGTCTCATCCTAGTTATTTTTTCTGGTTGTATTTTTGTTCTTATGTTTTTCTTGTTTACTCTCTGTTGTCCCTTTGTGCCAGTCTTGTATCTCCTAGCTCCCTTCTAGATCCTTCTGTCCACACCTGCTCCCAATTAGTTGATTACTCCATTTATTGTTCTGTTTGGCATTTATACTCCTCCTCTGCGGTTACTGTTTCCTGGATTCTGTTCATTCCTTCATCCCCTCCTTAACCCACGTGTCACCCTTTGCTCCGGTTTCTGTTTTTGGTGATTAGTTATTTCTGGATTTAAGCTTCTGTTGACACCTTTGATTATAAAATCTGCAAGAAACAGCTTCTGTCTCTGCATTTGGGTCCTCTAAAAACCTCTGCACAACCTGACAAATAACAACTTCAACTTCTTTAGATCACTGAAAAAGCAAAAAAAGAAAAAGATTAAACTGATTATTTTCAATACTAATATTATTGATTATATCTTATTATATAAATTATATTTTATAGAAAGTCAGAATGCCTTCTTATAAAACATCTCAAGTAATGGTCTATGACGCCTGTATGCCTGTTATAATTGTGAACATGTAAAGGTTGGTAAGATCTCTCTGTAACTTTGCTGATTAATGAGGTCGTCAAATAACTCAAATGCAGAAACATGGCTGAACAGAGATCAGCTGCTTTGTTTGTTTATCTACTCTCCCTAATGAGCAAATAAGTAGGATAAACCATCAAGCATTTTGGTTACGGCTAAAAGGCTTAATGCAATTAATGAAGCACTTACATTAAAAATGTTGGGTAATTGCACACAACACAAATATAATGAGACCATTTTTGGAGATTTTCTTAGAAAAAAAAAGGCTTTACAATAATTTCCTGATAACAGATCTGAAAAACAGCTACATTGCTCGAGTTTCTAATATAAATTTAAGTTCATCGTGTGATTGCTTAGGGGAAAGCAGAATTGGTACATTTTTTAAATACAATTTAAAAAAGACAACGCGTTAGTGATTAAGGGCAAAATGTGAAACTCATGCATATACAATAGATCTATCATACAGAGTGATATATTTCAAAAATATGCCTCTTTTCGCCTTATGTTTATGACTTTATAAAAAAATGTGAACATTAGAGCAGAGCAGTATAAAAAATGTCACGTTATACCATGATATGGGATATGCATCCATAGGGAAGGCTGTTGATTTAGCAGTTTTTAGCAGACAGTTAGTCACACCCTCCTTAAGGAGGTTAGGCCAGAAATGGTTAATTCTTAATCAAAATTCTTAACACAAATTTGAGTGAAAGGAAAAACCGAGCACAATAACACGTATAAGCAACAGCTATTCTGTCAATACTGAGAGGATTGTGAAGCAAAGATAATATAAATACATGTTCTAGCCCCCTCGCCCAAAAAAATAAAAATAAAAATAAGGGCTGGGAATCACTACTGTGTTTATTTATAGAAACCAGTGGTTTTAATCCTTAAGGGTCTTTTATATTTTTATCTGTCCCTTTACTCTGCACACCTAAATAAAATGACTAAACATGCAGTAAAGCTATGAAGAGCTCATACTGCTGTCAGGTGTGTTAAATCAGAATAGCATCTAAAGTTTGCAGGACAATGGACTTTCTGAAATAGACTTTAAAATGAACTTTTAGCTTATATGTTAAGCTTGGTTGCTCTTCTTGATGAATCTTCTTAAGAATTTGCTGTTGCTTTTGCCTCTATATGTTTCCTTCAACATAGAAGCTTCCCTTGCACCAGTTCTGCCTCTTTTTTTTTTGTTGTTGTTTTTTTTTTTGTTTCCAGTCTGCTTTTTGTCCACTCTGTCCCTTCAGACAAACTGCTAGGAGATGTTTCTGCTGGAAGTTAATTTCTTTTAAAGAGGAGTCCTCCTGTTCACATTGCTACATGCATGCTGGGTATGTGGGATTGCTGCAAAGTTAACAACTTCATGTATTCAGTGACGCTACTATATGGGATTCCTGCAAAATCACTCCGTGAAGAAACACTTTGTTGGTTTTCCTATTAGTAATTTAACTATTTAAGTAATTTCCCTCTGGGATTATTAAAGTATTTCTGATTCTGAGCAAAATAAACTGAAGTTGACATCATAATTGTACAAATATGAATTTAACAAAGTGTATTGACTCCAAGTCATGTCTATATGAATGATTGGAATAGACTCTTATTTCTATATCTACACTGGATCTGTCCATGCTTTGAGACAATATGCTGGGATTTTATTGATTTACTTTTTTTTGTTGATCTCACAGTAGAGAAAATTACTAATTTTTCTCTGTGCAATGAAACTTATTAAGCCTTTAATATATATATATATTTTAGTGTACACCTGCTTTTCCAAAAAATATCTGCATCACAAAGTGGGATAAATACAGCTTTTGTCTTAAAGAGGCAGTGTGGTCTTACTATCTGTAGCTGGAGGTAGTCTCCAAGGCCAGATGCGCTGTCCACTCGGAGTAGAACGGCATGTTTCTGCTGGGTGCTGAAGCCAAGGGCTAGCCGGTCCGCCCTGGTGCTGGGACGCTCATTAGGAGGCCATGTGTAAATGACCACACCTCCATCCCGGCCAAAGATATAAGTGGTCCCAGCTGGGAAGCACAGATGGAAAAACAACATATTCATGTATCAAAGTGAATGGCTGCCCTCATTGCAGATGGTACTAATATTCATATAATGCAAAACGTTACACAAATAAGGAGCATTTGGCAAATTAGAAACTTTAAATGTCACAGCTGAAGTGTTCCTCCTACAGGCTTCTAAAATCTGTGCTTCCCAAATTATTCACCATTACAGCAGGAGGCTGGGATGACTCATTCAAATACCAGCTCATACATTTGTTTGACTTCAAGGCTGACAACAAAATTATTATGTATCTCACTTCTAAAGGAGATGACAGAGGGTAATCTGGTGTTGAAGGAATTTAATGAAGAACTTTTGTTATTTGCTGTTAGAAAGGAAAATTTAACTGAAGAGGTCAGATATATTTCTTTATTCTAGAAGTAGTTGACAACGCCCTCTTGTGGTTACTCTGATTAATACATTACAAATATCCACAATGCAGTGTTTCAAATATAGTAAAACTTATTTGATTGCTTATTAACAAACTTGTTAAATACTATCTGTCTGCTTTTGCAATGAGACCAATAATAAACAAAAGAAATGGAGACATTTAAGATCCGATAACATTGAAGGAAACATTTCTTATGATTTTAACCCAATCCAACATAAACAAAGTTTTCCTCCATTTGTTTGTAGAATAGAAAAGAGCGGATTAGTTACCATCGTTGCACAGCGGTCCAGCGTACGAAGTCATGCTGCAGTCACAGGTGAAGCCCTCCCACTGCTGCAAACAGACTCCTTGATTTGAGCAGGAGTCTTCTTGACATGTTGTGCTGGGACCTGCAGTGACAGACATGGGGGCATGTTAGGTTGACAAAAGCAGGGGAGAGAAAAAGAAAAAGAAAATACTTTGCCTCTGGTTTTTACTGCAGCTTATTGTTGTTCATGACAGGGATGCGTTGGTATTCTTGGGCCACATTTTATTGAAATACTTGTAAACTGCTGTGGTGTAATAACATGGATAATTATATTCAGTGCTGGCCACATTTATCGGCATTTGTGGGAAAGATGTGTAAGAGACCCTTTACTGCAGCAGCATAAAATCAAAAGGAAAGTTTAAAAAAAGGTGCAGCCTTTAAACAAACAATACAAACAATATATAATATATGAATAAAGAAACTACGGTAGGCTGATATTTCACTTGATTTTGCAATCAAATGTCAAAAAATAAAAATTGAGATCTAAAAATTTCTGTTGTCTCAGCAGTGCAAACATATTTAAGTAGATTTTCGAATTTCGAAAAACAATATATATTTATTTAATTATATTCCAGTGTCGGATTCTAAAGATTAATAGGAGAATGAATAATAATGATATATGCTGAATAAAATATGGCTGGGCTATTTAATACTTTAAAAGGTAATAGTAAAACATTAAAATCACTTTGGGAAAAGATGGAAAGCCCATGTAGAGATGACAAGATTGGAGTAAAGCGGTCATATATATTTTAGTGCCTGTTGTTTAGTGAAAAAAAAAGAAATGATAGTCTTAAAAAAATCACAGGGGCAACAATTATTTGTGTCCCTTAAAAACAAATCTATATTCAAAACAAAAATATTTTGAATTTCATAATGCTGATGGGAGTACATAGAAAATTCTACTTAGCAATCCACTATTCTCCTTCTTCCTGGAGCATAAATGTGGCGCAGAGGACAATTTCTAAAAAACTTTCTCCAAAAAAAAAAAAAAAAAAAAAAAAAAAAAAAAAAACCCTTTCAAGTCAAGAAATAATTACAAGAAGGTCTTTCATAAACTGGCCCATATCTATAGCCAGAATGTTATAAAGTTTAAAACAACCACCGGTGTGACACCATGTTAAGTAAGCTGTATGGTAAAGGAGGAAAAAGAAAACAAGCTTACTGTCTGAGAACTGCAGCATAGTGGTACATCTAGGAGGTTCTAGATTTATAAAAAAGCCATCAACATTATTATTGGCTCATTTACATGTCGATAATTTGTCTGGGATCAAAGCCAGGAAAAAAGCATTTTCTGCTCTATGATTAGAAACTAACTAAACCGATGGAATCAGCTTCAAGAACAGGATGAATCCATTGAAAAGCAACTCTTTCCCTGTTTTCCCTGGAAGGATGAGTGATGCTGTGGGATCTTAAGGACCCTAACCACTTTGCACGCCATCATAGATTTGTGGGATGTATGTTGATGTATGATCAGCAGAGGTTATTTACTGAGGTTATTAAAAGTACAATCATTACAGTTTGTATATATCCTTTTCTTGCAGTGTGGTAATAAACTACTGCACTAAGGATTACCAATAAACCTACAGATTAATAAATGTGGCCAGCACAATAAATGCTCACTAGGATTGCGATCATATAAAGATTTTAAATTACGTTAGAATGATCATTTAACTAAAATTTAAGAGTGGAATGATTAGAACATGCATGTGGTGACTTAAGATGTTTGGGGCAAAGGCTAGTGGAGGGGTTTGATTATAAAGTCATATATCCCAATACTCTGTCTCCATCATTCTGTCAGTTTCCTCTCATGCCTCATGATGAAGAAAACATCAAACCTTGAAACTTAGTTCCCTTGTTGAAGTTCTAACATGACGCATGGAGGAAAGGCTGTGAAATGATTAATAGGTGGAGTATTGAATCGTATCCAGGAGGCATGGGGAAAGGGTACAAACCATGCAGTTAGAAGCCAGAAAATTTGGAATAGTGGGGAACTCATGTCAAGAGGATTTAATGTTTCTAACAGTTATGAGAGGATAATTCAACTCTGACCTTTGACTTTGGATCACTGGGATCCACACAAACACTTAACATCACTGGGTTGTCTTTAGCACAATCAGTCGCTCATACTCACACATCACGCATCACACAAAGAGATATACCTTGCAGGTCAGCTTTCATCAATGTAACTTTTGTCGGACAAAAAAAAAAGGCAAACAAGCAAAATAAGTTAGATGGTTAGTCAATGCGCACAGATGCCTGTGAGCTGCTGTAAGAGCGGAGCTAAGAGAGAGAACTCAATGTGCAAAAAAAAAAAAAAAAGAAGAAGAGCGGACTGGATGAAATGATAGAGAGTAACATTATGGCTAACAAAACCAGAGCTGGGTTAGTGGGTTATTGTAACAGCAGTGAGTTATAAAAAAAAAAACTGAAAGCAAGAAGAGGAAGGAACATAACGCCTGGAACACAACTGATGCTATGTCGCCTCACCTTCACAACCTCTTTCAACTTGTCCAATTGTTGTCAAGGCGTCGGCAAGCAGATCCGGGAGGCGCCCATTTAGATCTAGTGTGGCCAAACAGCCTTGAAAGCCCTCTCGAGAGTGAACCAACTTTGGCAGCTCACGGTACATCTCTTTGGTAACACCTCCAATATACAGATCACCTGTCGAGAAGCATGAAAAGATGCACTGTGAACTATTTGATACATTATTCATTAAGCTGTGAAAAAAAAAAGAAAGATTTCTCTGCCCCAAATATTCCTATGAATTCCCCCAAACTTTATCAGTTTTTTTAAAGCTGCTTTTTTAAAGATGTTCCTTATCTTACAACATAATTTATATTGTATTAAAAAAATATTAAGATAAGTAAACATGACAATTTCTTGAATATTGAGAGGCATCAGGCCCTGACATAAGTCTGTGAATTGTTTACAGCTTGGTATTGTTACACGTTGTTTATTTTCCATGCTTAATGACTGCTTGACCATTTTGGGATGATTACTGAATGAAGTGCCCACAGGTGGTTAAATAATTATAATTTCAGAAAAAAATCCCCAGCAATGTCAACTACTCTAAGAGTTTGGCATGCTAAGGTGAGAAACCAACATAAATGCAGACAGAGAGTCTGCACAATTTAAGAAGTTATTAAAATTATGGTGGAGGATATTCTTTTTCTGGGTGGATCATCAAAATAAGTGGTCCCCTTAATTGCAAATAATTTTTGTGATATGTTTACGTAAGGCCGTTCACATGCTCCTTCTTCATTTTTTTCTTCACATGTGCACTTTCAGGAGTATATGTGTGGTGAGCTACGGTTTCATCCAGTCATGGAAGCTCGCCTTTTTCACTGCGGTGGAAAAATTGCAAAAATTTTCTTTTTGAAAGTAAGCTTGTATGAGCGATGCGAACAGCAACTTTTAAACAGAGCGTGCACGAGGAGAAATTGACTCATGCACGCTCTTGCATGCGTTTATTAGTTGTTCCCTGTTGGGAGCGGGTACAGGGTTGTGCATGTGCATTTTTTTTTAAAAGTGGAGAGGGCGGGTCTTTTAAAAAATTCACGAAAATCCTCCACTATACCTTAACTCTGTTATTATGTTACTTCTATTATAGAAAGGCGATGCTGCAACATCTTGATAAACTACATTAAGGCAGATAGGTAATGGTCCAAGGTACGATATACACACAGTCTCGGTTTGGGTAAATAAGTCTTTTCCGTCAGTTCTTATGAAACTTTGAGAGTAAAATAAACAGCCATCTGTTGGTCAACACAATGAAAATAAACGTAAGGATCTTTTGCATGTCCATAAGAATATTAACAGAATTACTCAACACAATTGTTTCATGTTAGCAGAGTAGGACATGAAACAATAATGTTTTTTTTTTGTGTGTGAAGATAACATAAACTAGTCAGACTCACATAATGTCCTAAGAAAATGAAAAATTGCGAAAAAAGCTTATATTTTCCAGACAATAGCATCTTAAATGTCTTGAACTGTCCATGGTGGTCAATTAACTGAATTCTGCGTGAAAATCTGTTAATAATTATTTAAATCTGCAACTTCGTAACCCATGCTAACATGAAGGACTGATAAAAAATATTGGCTTAGGACCAAACTTTTTGCAGATTAAGCAATGACACCACAGTCCAGATTTCTGGTAACACTGTGTGGTTTTATGTTTAAATATTTACTTAACTGTGTCACAGCTTGAATGACAATGTTTTTAAATAACAGAGTTCTTAAATAGCGTTGCCACATTAAAAATTCAGTGAAATGCAATAAATATGTTAAAAATCATATGAAGAGTTTATAATCACATGTCTATATCTGCTGCTTAAAGCTAATCCAATCTGATCATCAGTAACAATCGGGATTATTCATGAGGTTACTATGTTAGGTTCTTCCACCACCTTGTGGCCTGTCCTGCTGGCCCTGTGTGTGTAATATTAGTCATGTATGTGTAATATTAGTATTATGACAGTGCTATTTTAACAGTTCTAGATACATTTTTGCTCTTATAAGAAAATAAGCCAGGTCCTTTTGCTTACTTTTTTATTACTTTTAAATATTCAGCAAAATCAAATTTAACTTTGATATTTCATCTCAAGGTTATCATAGTCTCTGAATCTATTACCGACACATACTTAAATATACACATTTTGCATTTGGCTGTTATGTGACGGGAGCAACAAATTGACAGGGAATAGCTTTCAGCTTGATTTAATAAAACAATTAATCGATTATGCATGCTTTTTCACCAAAATGTTCCAGCGGGAAGTATGGTTAATTGCTTTTTTTAATGAATGCAACTTTATAAAATAGATACCACTCTGGTGTCTGTATGATAATATGAAGTTGTTGCCTGGAGACACTTAACTTAGTTTAGCACAAAGACTGGAATTGGAGCGATATAAGCTTAACTTTATCCATTGGCAAGAGAAAAAAAAAAAAAAAACCTCTGTTAGCTGATTGGCCATAAATAGTCTGGCATTAACTCTTTGAAAGAAATTACTAAATTGGTTTCAGTCTTTGTTTTTACACTGATTAAAGAGAGGCAAAGTGTTAATTAGGTGACTAACTAAGAGGAGGAGGTAGATTTTTATTCTGTTTCCCAAAGGCAAGTCTTTGCCTTTAGCCTTCCAATCATTTTTTTGTATAATGAGTGTTTAATCATTCTATTCCAAAATGTAATATCAGACTAATAACTAAATAATAAGCTTTGACAACCCTGACAATGATCAGTTTTTCTTTTTTTTTTTATTCTGTGTACCTTTTAAATCAAGGTTCTTGGCTCCCATTGTGGTCTGAGTAGTAACTTTGGTGTCAATCTTGACCGTGTGAAGATTGTTTGTGTCGCGGGAAATGTGCACATTGTGCCAGTGGTTGTCATTAAGCGGACTGTTGGAGTTGCCCTTGATCAAGTGTGCTCCGTTTCCCAGGTCAGAAATGTAATGAAGGTAACTGAGGGAAAAAGAAAATGCAGAGAGGAAGGGGTTAAAGAGAACGGGGGAGGCAAGAGAAGGCAAATTAATCACTCTTGTGATGAAGAACACAGGGTCACACACTTCGGCGCATTATTAACTGTCTTGTACAAACTTAATTACAAGACTTGAGAAAGAGGTGCTGGATTAGTTCATTTTTTTAACTACATTTAATAGGGTGTTTCAACCTTACTGTCTATTCTTTTCTCTTATCAAGGACAAAACTGCTTTAACTAAAAAAGAAAAAAAAAAAAACTAAATGTATTTAGAATTAATACCAAAAATTTTCATACGCTTAAAAATAGTCAGACCACCAAGTTATTACCAATGTATCAGAATATTAATGGAAAATGTTCTAAAAAATTTTTAAGAAGTAAGAAAGTACACAAACTGCACTTAAACTATGAGGGAAAGAGCAGATAATGAAATATAAAGCACACTTTCAGGACACAATTCCATTTTAATGTGACAGAATAATTTTAATAAATCAAGTAACCCTCAAAAAGGGCCTAAAACCTCACTAAGTCTGGGTTATCTAAGTGCCTGAGTGTGCTACATTCATTTGTTTAAACAACTAAATGCAGGTATAAATACTAAATAAATGGCTGACCATACCCTTCAGGTTCTGTGTTGCAGTGAGGAACATGTTTAAGCACCAAATGTGTTTCAAACCCCAGATTATAAGAAAAACACCCTATGAAGATGCAGGTTAAAGTTGGAAAGAGGGACTGGTGCATTTTGCAAAAAAAAGAAAATAAAAAAACACTTGAGAAAATAACTATAATACAAAATATAAGAACTATAATAAAAAATTATATATCTATTTTTTCAATATTCAATATTTCAACATTTATTGGATGGAGTGGGTTAAAAATAATGAAATTACTTCATCCACTTGAAGAATCTATTTGTGCTCAGATTTGAACATTTCAGCTAATGTTTTGTTATTGCCTCAATAATTAAACATAATTTTCTTTCCTCGAGACGTTTTTTTGTGAAGTGCACTGGTCCCTCCTTGAGTATATTGGCAGAATATTGCCCCTTAAAGCTGATCATCATAGCTAAACACTTTGACTTTAGTTTCATCGGAAGCCCTGATTTTAGTTACGCTGAACGTTTGTGGGTAAAGAAAGCGTTATGAGCAACATGTTTATACAAATGTAGCTCAGATGCACCAGTTGTGTTTGGAAGAATGGGCCTAAACACCTGGAGAAGTTTGCTGGAGGAGACCCAACATAGTCGATCCAAGTCATACAGTTTAAAAAGAATTAAATTATTAGGTTAATGTCAAACGGCAAGAAGAAAAAGATATTTAACAGAATGTCGAACAAGCAGAAACTGCACATATTACCCACTTCTTTTATTAGTCAGCTCACCCTTTAACCAACTCAACGACTATGAAGTCATTGCCGTCTCCCCTGTTGAAGAGAATAAGACCATCTGGGGATGTTGTCTTGAACTGCATGAAGAGGTGCATGGAGTAGTAGGCCTGCAGCGTGGGCAGCGTGACAAAGCTGGAGCGGGAGCGGAAAGTGATGGGGTCAGCCACGATGCTCTTGTAACCGATGACGGCGTTGAGCTCGCAGTAGTCAATGTCGCCGTTCTTGCACAGGTCAATGTAGGGCATGCCGTTCAGCGTCAGGCCTTGGAGATGGCCGATAAAGTTGGAGGGCACAATGGGCATGAAGCGCTTCTCAGTCACGATGCCCGTCTCCACGTTGTGGAACTCAAGCTGGGTGTGGTCGCCCGCCATCTGACCTGGTGTTGTTGGGGTATAAACTTCAGAGGTGAGGGCTCTGAACAGTTGTTGCTCTACTAGTGCTGATTAACCTTTAAGAAAACACTTATTTTAACAATACTGATGCTGATCTAAGTTCGAAATGTTCTCCATAAAAAAAAGATATACAACTAATGGTTATATTAAATTTCTCAACTAAATTTAACTTTTTGTTTAAAAGGAACAAAGTTTTTTGGAATCTTTTAAGGGAATCAGCAATACTTCAAGATTTCTGAAGATCTCTAAAATTCCTTCCTTGGACTTTAACTATTTTATTTAATCTTTTTTATGTCCAGTCCTTCAACTTTAACATACTTTTATTTTTTTTGCTTATAAAATGAAATAAAATCTTACCTAACAAAATACAATTCAACATTTTCCTCCTGTTACTCAATGAGAAAAAATGAAATATTGCTGTATTTAACATCTACTTATTGTTTTTTATTTCCATTACAAAAAAATAAAAAATAAAGAATACATTCCAACTAAATTTAATGGTTTTCAAGTTTATCTTGAGAGGAAAACTTCCTCTTTTGGCTGTGATTTTGGTCCCATAGTACAAGCCGCTATTAGCAGGTAGGTTACTGGGGCTATCTGCTCAGGTAGAGTCGCCAGTCAACTGCTTAGCAGGCATGAGGCCGCTATGCATAGGGTCTCCAGATGCGTTCATTAACTAACAGGTGCATTTCTTCAATGTAAAGAAAGCAGAGCTTTTGTCACTGCCACAGAGTGGTGCTGTCTGTCAGTCAAAATATAGTCTTTCCAAACGGGGTAAGCCTGGCTCATAACTCACTATTCAGAGATTTTACTTAGCATTTTACCCAGAGAGGATGTGTTTCACTTTGCCTACATTTTACTCTTCCTGTCTGACTCATTACACTGTCACCAAGTGCTGTGCTGGTTGGTTAAATTAGTCCAGACGTCTACGTCGGTATGAGCCAAGGAAGAACAGTAGAAGAGAATCATGACAAACTCTGTGTACCACCACCTCCTACAATCTGGTTTTATCTTGGATCAGACGCACAATTGTGTCCGATTCGTTCTAGCATAAAGTCCAAGCTGTTAATAATAAATAAAAAGCTACAGTACTTTCTCTTATATCTCATAAAATAAATATTGAAAGTAGAAATATGTTTTTTGTTTTGGAAAGAAACTGGGCCTACTTGCTGCAAACAGAAGTCTCTTAAAGTTGTGTCTTTAAGAATGAATCAATATCATTTCATTATGACTTTGCTGGTGCTTTTTCTGTAGAGCTTTTATTTATTTGAGCCTTTAGGACAGTTTAAAACTATCAAACATTATAATTAAGTCCCAGTGTGCTGTTCTCCAACTTTTGGAACATCCCTTCTCCGACACACCTGAAGGGTTGAATTAACTCCTCAGCATGTGATCATCCTCCTTAGAGTCTTGTAAAAGACCTGATAGTTTAATTCAGCCATGTTGAAGCAGAAGGACTTCTAATAGTTGCAGCACAACAGGATTCCTTTTTTCTGTCAAAGCCAGTTTTCCGTTTTCCTCAGTTTTTGCTTCCACCAAATCCGCATTATTTTTGGTTAAATGTTTTATTCAAAAAATCTGGCTTCAAGCTTTATCTGTAGAACTTCAGTGTTCATCTTAATTGTTGCTGTCTCCATTATTTGCACCTTAGTAGTTAGTCTCTGTGTTTATATACTACTTCTGTCTGTCTGTGCTTCCCCAACCCACTGGTCCCATGGTAAAGTCAGTATTCCTATTATAAATTTCAGCCTTTTGTATATTGCAGGACTTATTGAATGTTTTATATCAGCTCTGATTAGATGCAAATTTAGTCTTTTGGTTCCAGTCGTATCGTGGCTATGAGGTGGTTCGGCCCTATTCTGAACTACTTTCCACCATTTTGTGACAGCTTTCATGCCTGGTTGATTCAAAAGTCTGAGTTAAATGGTATATATTCCTCTGAAAATGGCTACTTACTGGACTGAGACTGAAATTAATGAGGAAGTTATTGTCCAAAGGAAAACTTCAAATACCTCCAGAAATTATGAAATAAAATACTGATCAAGACCATTTCTAAAGAGTGCACAAAATCTAACTCATGGAAATTAAAATACTAAGTAAAGCTTTTGCACCTTGTTGAATGAAAAAAACTATGTTGTAGAACATGAGTGCACAATCAAGACCAAGCAGAGGACAAATTGAAAAGGCTGCAGTGGTTACCTTCAACAGTCTGCAGGTCGTCGACGGTGAGTTTGAGGCTCTTGCCGCGCCGGACTACCCTCACTGTGTGCCATTCATTATCATTGAGGCCTGACCCAGCAAAGATGGTCTCTGGGCCTTTACCTACACATAGCCCAGAGCACCATTAACAGAATGCACAGAAGGGTGAAGAGAAACAGAGTTGCAGAGACAGGAGAAGAAAACCAGAAGGAGAGAAAGCAGAGAGCCAGGCAGGTTGAATCAAATATTGTGAGGACAGATTTTCAGGAAATGGAAGCTGGGAGCAGAGGGTGAGGGGGTGGGGGTGGGCTCATTCATTTCCTGGGGAGACAAACACCTCAGTGCCATCTCACACAAACAGACAGACAAATCTCCTTCAAGATACAGCTGAGAGACAGGTGATGAGACACACAGGCTGAAGATTAACATAAGGGAATGCTTTAGGTGCCTAAGATGGAGGCTGTGAGTCACAACAGGCCTATACTAAGACACTCCATCCATGGACAAACAGCCATGATGGCCACCTGCAACCTTCACAAAAACACACCAAAATAATACCTGTTCTAATGCTCTAAAACCCTACAAACCCAAACTTCACACCACAACCAGACTTCATGATAGTTATTTTTGTAATGGATAATGATAAAAAGTAGCATCTAATCCTTAAGTAGAAGAAAATGGATACATGGTTTTCTGAAATTGTTACAAATAGAAAAAACCAAAAAAAACAAAAAGGGTGGCATTCTTCACAAAAAATGACAACTATAAGACATTTTAAGGAATGGCTTGTAAAATAAACAAATGTAAAACTTTTCTCTTTTTTATTCTTACAAAATAGCTCCTGTCTACGAGCATCTCTTTAAATCGATTCTCAACATTTGATAAAGGTCAGATGGAATCAAGACTATATTATAAACATGTGTAGATCTAAACAGTACCATATAGCTCTAGTTGTCTTTTCACATCATTTGCAGCTTTATAGATTTTTCTCCTCTATATAATGAGTTCTTAATATTTTCATTAATTCTGACTAGCTTCAGAGAATTGTGGCAGAAAAGCTTCTTTGCAGCATGTTTTTTTCACCATGTTTCGCTGTGGGGGTGGTATGTTGGAGCGATATGAAGGTTCTGTTTTGCTATACACATAGCCTTTTGCCTATAAGCCAAATTTCCCTCTCAGCTGACAAAACACTCTTCCATAATTTTCCAATTCATTACTTTTTATGGTTTTCTTTCACTAATAGTGTTCTTTACACCACTTCTTGATAAAGCCCACACGCATGACTAATAGCTGTCTGTGAATACATTTCTCCTGCCTGAGTTTAGAACCAGTGCAGCTCCTCTAGAGTTACCTGTTCCTTCAGTCACTTGGACAGCAGGTCTGAAACTATGTTGAGAATGTCGAACTTTATGTGACGGTATCAGAGTAAATGGACATTTTGTTCAGGAATTTATTAATGATGCACTTTTTTCGAGTAGCTCAATAACAGAAATATATCTATAAACACACCAATGTCTTTGGCTGTAATATTAAAAGACATATATATATATATAAAAAGAAAGCTTTAATGGTATCAATAATTTTTTACAAGATAATGTATTTTTTATTTGCTTTTCTTTCCAGAAGCGCAATGCTTCAGTAGGCCTCAGGGTGGCACTACAAACAGAGGAGCTACAGAGAGCTCTCCAAGGTGCTGATGTGCAGCAAAATAAAAGAAGCTGTGATGTCTTTGCATGATGCCTCTCTCCCTGTCCATCTACAATCTCATATCTTCTCATACTTGACTGCACACATTTGACAGACTGACGGCGTCCCCTTGCTCGACAACCATCACTCCATCCTTGAACACTACACACACACACACAAACACACACACAAACCCCTTGCTTTTCAGAAGAGCTTTAGGCTCGTGAGGTGGGACTGAATCTGCTTACAGTGACCTATAGGAGGTAATGATGGAGGGAGGGAGGAGGGAGGTGAGAAGTAAACTGACCCGAACAGATTCTGCCGCAGAAAATGTCAAGCATGTCTACATCAATCACGGAGGCACGCAGGCAGGGCTAGTACACAAACTCGCGGGTAGGGAGGCAGAGAGAAATGCTGACGAGGAAACTTAATTAAACAAATATGAGAAGTCGATCAGAATGGAAGTGGCAGCATGAAACGGCCAAGTGTGCGTTTGCGGAGCTGAAAGAGCGCGTTGTCCATTAAGAGAGGACACAGGGTTCCCCTGAGGAGACTCAGCTGTGCTCTAGGCAATGCATCTCATCCAGTTACCATGGATCACTGCTTAGCACCGGAGTAAGGCAGGAGAATATGTGTAGGCCTGTGTGAGTCGATGCATCTGTGCGTGTCTGTGTGAGTACGTGTGGTTTTCCATGTGTAACCGAATACTAGGAGAATGAGCAGGCGGAAGTGAGAGCGAGGCAGTGATCTGTCTCAACCTGGGAGCAGACAAACACGTACCTATTTTTGGTTAAGAGTTAAAAGGGCATTGAGCATGATGAGTTGAGACTAATAGACTGTCTGCAGTCTGTCAGCTATTTGCTGCTAAGGCAACACAAATCAAAGCAAATAAAACAAACCACCAAGGATTATAAGCGAGGGGAATAATGAAAACAAAATGGAGAAAAGCTATTCATATTTCATTAGCTCTAAATAACAAATGGCTTTTTTTTCTTCCTGAACGATAAGCCTCAAATCTCTGCATTGCCGAGGCTTTTATTTGACTGCTGAGTGGACTGTTTCAGTGGCGCCTGACTGTTAAATAAATTTCTCCTTCCCTCCCTTGAATATGATATGCATAATTTATTGTATGCACAGAGTGGCAGAAAAGTGGCTGCCTACTAAAATCTTCATTGAGACGGCCGGTCTAAAATTGGCCAACAGACATTCAGAGCGGCAGCGCTGTGTGGCTAGCAGGGTTTCTATGGCAACTGCAGTCGTCCATTTCACCACCTCTTTGCCGTCACAGTGTCCCCCCTCCCCACCCGTCCCCATCAACACCAGACTCTCTACGTACTCCATCTTCATCTCCCTCACTGACAGAAACTCCGCGTGAGGGAATTAAAACTCCGTCAGGGGACTCGGCTTCCGATCGCAGCGGGATGGACGGAGACACTGCCCAGAGTAATGCACAGCCTCCAGAAAACAGAACAGTGTGTAAAGCTAAAACAACAAGTGAGAGGAGAAGTCATTCATCCAACCGCTTCTTCTCCTTTCTCCCTAACATGCTTAATTTCCTTATTACCCCTCCCACTCACCTTCCTCCTTTTCCTCTCATTTTTCTTCTGATTACACCCTCTACTCCCGCTTCTCCATTTATCCTTCTTTACTAAAATGGCCGACCTGGAAAACCCTGGCCCTCAGCAAAAAAAAAATCATGCCTCTCCCTGCAGTGTAGCCTAATATGCACACAACTCTCTTCCCTTTGCCGTTTAATAACATGGTATCTATCTGCAAGTAGACATATGGCAAAAAAGACGAGATAAATACGAGATAAAGATGAAACATAAGACAAAAGGAGTAAAATCTGGCCAGACACATTAAAAGCACTCACAACACACACATACTGAGGAGGAGGAGGGAGGAGGAAGAGGAGGAGGAGTTAGGTGAGATGGAGGATCACTTACTGGCTGTACAGTTTATCCTGATACAGTCTGGAGGGAGAGCAGAGCAGAGGGTTAATGCTGCACACATAGACATATACTCTCCACGCCCTGGGGACGCACACGTCGACACACCCAGCATGTACGCTTTGCAAATACACTGCTGAGGAAACACTCACTGGACCATAAAATGGACTCTGTGTTTTCTTATAACAGTGTGCTGCAAAATTTAGCTTTTCTGAGCGTAAATTTTGCTAGTAAATCTAAAGAAAAAATATGTGAACATTTCAATTTGGACGTAAAGCAGCGTGGGTGTTTGCTGCATTGGCCTGAGCGGCGACTTTAAATTGGGATGGGTCATGTGGGTCAGTGTGTCTAATGACACCTGTAGCATGAACTAACCTCGGGATTGGTACTGAGACTCTTTCTGTCTGCTTCAGCTGGCTTGCTGGATTTTATTACTCAGACTAGATGAAACCTGTTTGCTGGTTAGACAATCTTCCTGGAAATAATAACCTGGATTCTCAAATGATTTCATGTTTTTGGTCTTTTATCATTGGATTTATTATTCACCTTTTTTGCGAGATCCTCACTGATACTCTGCAAAGACAGATTCCAAGAGAGGAATTTAATCTAGTACAGTATGTTTGATCTCCCACTAAAAAACTAAATTTAGTTAATCAAATTATGATTCTGGGACTGAGTCCTGACATCTGATCAAACCTGGGAGACTGGGCTTGCAATAGTTTTTTTTTTTTTGCAATTGATGCACAAAAACAAGTAAAATATGTAAGTATGTTGATGTACGCAATAATTCTATCGTGTTTAGAACTAGTAAATAAACCTTCCACTTAATATCCTAGAGTCAACAAAATTGTGGATAAATTTAAAGTTATGCGTTTATCTTTTGAAAATAAACTCTTACTTAATTCTGCTTAAATGTTGATTAGCTTGTCAACATAATTTTTCTATCAGTAGTAAAAAGCAATTCAATGAAATAATGTAATTTGATTCTATTATTATGAATTTTTAAAATGATTATAAACCTTTCATCAGCCGCTTGGGTTATGATACTGATTTGATTTTTAATAACTAATAATACATTTGTTTACCCATAGTTAGGTTAATAAAAGTAGCTTTTTAGATTTCTGATACACACTGAACACATGATAGAAGTTTAGTCGCCCTTTTATGGAGGAATAATCTTCACAAAAAATCTGGAAGATTAACCCTCTTTCCTGTTTTTGTTTTTTTAATGCCTTGGTGTGTCGTGTGGCGTCAACCTCAGAAAAGACGTGGCTGCAGACAACCAGAGACCAACACATGCACCCCTCAGTGAGGATATGCGTGTATGTGTGTGTGTTAGTTTGTAGAAATATTAATATGTGCAAGTGAGGCTTAAAATGAATAAGAGAAATTAGCTGCTTGTTTGTGTGAAGTCAACTAGTTGTATGTTCTGGCATTGATAGTTTCAGGATGTTGGGGATGCACAGGTCTGCTGGGAGTGAGCAGAGAGAATGCAGCTCGAAGCTCGACCCTCTGTCCAACTGATGTACACACTCTATATACACAGTAAAATAAAATAAAGTTTGGGTCACACATGGAACTGTTTTCCCTGGAAAGGTGAGAATGCAAGTGTAAAAAAACCTCAGAATTAACATTGGATTTGAACGTTTTTGGTGGTAGTAACATAACCTTTATCTTGACGATATAGAAACATCCATCCTTTAATTTGAGAACATTTCTTCAGCTATAAAAATTGAATTCAATTTGATCAGATTTTAGTAAATTATATTTTTCTAATCAGCGGTGCAATATTTTTTCCCGCTACATACATTTAACCAAATCATGCTATTATTTTATTTTAATTTTTCCATTGCACATTAAAGATAAAATCTAGAATCTTTACATTTCTGTATTCATGGAGAGTGAATACATCATGGAACAAAGGTCTGTCTCTTTCAGTAAGACAAAAAAAAAAAATTGTATGTCCTTATGAGTATTTATTTTAATAGTACTGGCTACATTTTTAAATAATTTTGCTAATGCTCACATGAACTGGATGGAGGAGAAGGTTTAAAAAAAAAAAACTCTCATTAATCAAACGGGAAAAAGTGGCTCCTTGGGGTCAGGTCTTTATAACAACATTTGTTTGTGAGGCGTATGGGAAAAAAGCTCTTTCTGACCTTCAATCCCATGGAGTTTGCAAAACTTTACTGAATCATATCTGGAGTTACTGTCTATTTTCAGATATAATAGCAAAAAAAAAAAAAAATAATAATAATAATAATAATAATAATGCACAAAGCTTTTGGGCCTGTTTCTCTTCCAAAGGTCACAGGATTAATGAATTGTAAAGCTCAGTTGGCCTCTGCTGCAAAACTGAATCTCAGTCCTCAGACCTGAACCTTATGGAGTGACATGAACAAATACATGCTAAGAAATGATCTCTTGATTAAAAAGGTAAATAGAAGGAGAATGGAGATAGATCCATCTCTGATTTGCTCAACATTAAAAACAATACAAGAGAAGACCTATTGCTGTCTTGATGTTAAAGGAGAGGGATGTTCAAAGTGCTTTCAGCAGGGATGTTTTAATATTTGTGTTATGAGCAACAATGCCTATCACTCCAATCAAAGATATATATTCCGAATAAAGGTTGGATAATTATATGTTGGAATTGTCCTACTGATAAAGAAATGGATTTATCCTCACAAATTTAGATTCCTTTCAAAATCATTCAAGCATGAGTACATTTAATACAAAAATACAGTAGAATTTTTTGTATTCGTTCAGGAAAAGTAAAAGAGAATTATAATTCAACATATATATCTGTGTGAGAAATAGCCATAAGGCAGGTGTCAGCTGCATTCCCCTGACAGGTAATTAAAATTCAGGATCCTACATTATGTGTGTGTGTGTGTGTGTGTGGATGGGTGTACCTAGGTTTACAGTTAGTCTGACACGGCCACCATCCAGCTCCAGACGAAGAGTGTCCGCTGAGTTCCGGGATGTGGTTGCCATAAGAATGCCGTAGGCCCGCTGGGAGCGAAAGCGTAGCGAGACGTCCTCCGCCTCAGTGTGCATCGCCACAGGCAGCTGCACCTTCATAAACTTACTGCCGTCATACGAGAGGATGGTCGCATCTGTGCAGGAAATGCAGACAAAAGGGACAGATGAGAAGGGAGGAGAGACAGAGGGAAGATGATTGACAGGAGGGAACACGAGGTAGTGGAATAAAAAAGCACAAACGCCTTCTCTGACAACGAGTGAATCAGATTTAAACATGACAAAGTATGTTTCAGTGCTGCTGCATTCTCTTATTTCCCCTGCTGCGACATGCTGAGACTCAAAACCTGCTTCCGACAAAATTATCCCGTCACATTCCCAACCCTGATTCATCATCACTCCCTCGCCTTGGAGGAGAGGGTGCAAAAATAGCTGCAGCTGGTTGTCTGGCCCCATTATCCGCTTAAATCAAAATGCAAGGTGCCGAGTATGTTAGCCACCACCGCTGACATCCCAGACCCTGGAGTCATAATGTAACAAGCTCAGGTGATCCCACTTTAATGTCTTTTGCATACTCATTTGCATATTCATAATCTTCTCTCAGCACTACCTGCTGGGGCCAGTCCCCAGCCGCTAAACTGTTTACCACCAAAAGCTCATGTTTTTGTTGGACAATTACATCCACAAAACTACCTAAACTCTCCATGCATCTGCATCGTTATCTCCTCTCCACCCTCTTCTTCTCCTCCTGTATCTCTCCATGCAATTTATGCTTTGGATTCGCTCACCCTGTTTCTGTGGGAGACGGTTGAAACCAAGGCAAAAAAAAAAAAAAAAA